TTATAATGTCAAGTATCAAATGGCAGAATTTTAGCTGGGATACCACATATATGTTAAAATCAGCCTATAAAAGACATTAATATGTTTGAAAAAGAAGAAAATTTGAGCCAAGGTATGTTGGACCATTTGATATTATTGAAGGGATTAAAAAATCTACTTATAGGTCATATTTACTAAAACTTAGGGAATCTAACTTAGGGAATCAAGTATACATGTTAAGTGGGGATACATTCAAATTTGAGCTACAGAGAGGAACCAAAAAAGATTTTAGCATACAACATTAGAAGATTAAGGAGTAAACATATTCCAATGGTTAAGGTACATTGAAATAATAAAATAGAAAGAAAAGCTACTTAGAAGAAAGAATCATATATGAGATAATTATATCCTGACTTGTTCGACTAATCAAACGTTTAAAATGTCGAGGATGATATTTTTTTTAGGAGAGGAAGATTGTAACTCCCACTGAATTTGTATATATATACACTTGTTCTGACTCGATCTAGTAAAGATAACCACTTAAATTTCTATGTTTATCCCCCATGCATGTGTCTATGAGTATTTTGTATACATGTGAGTGTCTGAATTTATTTTACAGCAGGTCTTAGGGCGTTATGTCCATGATTTGGAAATTTGAAAATTTTATCTTGGGGACGTTTGACATCGGGATTAGCAGCACAATGACATTGAACTCTCTATCATTTGGCCAAAATAATTTTATGATGTGATAATGCAACCCAATACACACCTCTAGGGAGCTTTGTGATGAGCATGATCAGGCACTACGATGCCAAGCTCATTTCTTGTATTAAATATCCATTTCCACTATTTTAAAAATGCATTTCATCCCTTTAAGCAACAAGCTAGAGAGAAAGAGAGAGAATGAATATTGAAAGCTAGGTTTTGGCAACTCTGATCCATTTTCTATTGTCGGCTTAGTTCTTAAAATTATCTAGCTTGTGGTATGTTACATTTCACCTATCTTAATTTTCAAAAATATAAAAAATTTATTTTATTCTTGATTAAAATTATAATTCCATTTAAGAAAAATTGGAATAACTTTATACCCGCAAAACTTTAATTGAGTAAATTATTATATATTATAGATATTATAGCTCTGGATATATATATATATATATATA